CCCCAAAACCCCAAAACCCCAGAAGATAAACTATTTAAATATTGGTGTTTATGAGATAATTGATTGATGAAATTAAGAAAATCAATTTAAAAGGGTCATCTGCATTCTATTTTTCTTTCCATAGATTTCTTTTAGCTTACCCACTGATTTATCTCTTTTGGATTTCAATATATCTTCCCTTGATAAGATTTCTTTAATTATGTCTAGTTATGTCATCTATTTTGCTTTGTTAAGTTCTCTATCACTCTTTGCTTATTTTTTACTATCTCCACTATTATTGAAGATATTCTGATTCAAAAACTTTGTATTTCTAGTTGAAGCAATACAATTAAGCAAATCTTTAGTTGGAATTTGATATAAAATATTAGGCTTCTATGTTTTCTAAGAAATTTGGTTAAAGCTTTACTATTTTTATTAATCGCAAATAGTTTGAAGAGTGATTAGTTTATCATTTGAATTTCTACTATTTGAATTCATATGAGGAGTCATTGCTCTTCTTTGCTCACTTTTATATTAATTTTAGACTAATTTTGAAGTATTTGGCTAATCAGGCGATTTTAAATAAGAAGTCTCTTTCTTTTTGCTTACTGAAAAGTATTAAGATAATTAGGTCAACTTACACCTATCTACAATTTATGAGAGGTCATTTTTAGAATTATTGCTTTCATTTGACAAAATAGTCTTATATAGCACTGAAGTGGCTCTTTAAAACTATAAAGCAAATTACCCATCTATAATCAATTATAAAAAAGCTAATAAATTTACTTTCTCTTTCTAAATCTATTAATGAATCGTGAAATCTTTATATTTGCTGATTCATTACAACAGATTTTTTCTAAATTGATACATTGCTAAGCTTATTAATATTTTCTTAGCTTTAAGAAATTTTTTTGTGTCCTATGTGTTTCATTCGATGCATCAAGTTATCTTTTACAAAACTTCTTTATGAGTCTAGATGTCCCATCTCCTCTCTCTAGCAATCCCTCAACTAGTCATCATCCTACTATGACTGCTGAACTCTTTAGGTAAGTGTTTCCCTGCTAATGTATTAAAAATTTTCAAGTTATTTTTTAATTTTCTTTAAATTTTCCTGATTTTATCTCATTTTAGCTGCACTAATGTTTAACTGAGTAGTAGATTTCTTAATAGATGGTCTTTAATTCGGATTGAAGTTAACTTCTAGGAACTCTTATTCTTATTTCTATTCCATGAATGACATCTTTTTTGTTCTAGCTAGGTCCTAAGTTTTCTTTTCAAGGTATTTCATTACATCTATAAGACTGCTGAATATTTCACCTATTGTTAAATCATGCGAATATCTTCGGTTATCTGAATTGATCAATTATAATGCATTCCCGAAATTGCTATTTGTAAGAGTCCTTAAAGGTTTCTTGATATATGGCTTCTTTTATCATGGAGTCATGACAGACTTATTAGAGCTCCTTGGAGATGGAATACTCGAGGATCTATCATTTAGAAAAGACATCTTAGGCTCATCTTAGTCTTTTTTAACCGGGAGAAATTTAGCTTTCCCATCAAAATACTAAATGAAGGAATCAAATTCCTAACTATAATTATTTGACACACTAGAATCTTAAAATATTGCTAACAGGCAAGCAAATCTCATTCCAAATATTATCTACCTAGATCTAATTTTTTCCAGGACAGCATTGTTGATTGTAAGATTTCGGACTAAAATTTTATTTCTAGTCTATATTGATTCTAATTTTGTTAAATCATTAGCTTATGAAAATTCATCTTTTACAGGAGATCCATTCAAATAGTTAGATGAGTACCTTATCTTTTAGAGTTTACTTTAAAGAATATCTTTTATTTGATGTTTTTCATCCAAGACTGTATTCAAATTCTTGTACTTAAGAGTATTGGAATAAAGTCTCATCATAGAGACATCATAGTGTTTTATTACTGAATCTTCAGTAACTATCTACTCTTTAAACTCTTTCCAAAGATTTAGGACATGAATATCAGAGAAAACTGCTGCTTCAATATCCCTTTAGTTTGATTCGTTGAAGTTCTTTGTCCTTTTTACATTTACCTTTTTCAAATAGAATGTCGGAAATTTTATGAGAGTAGTTTTTCTTTTTTCATTTTAGTTAATACCAGTTCTCGTATTCCTTCTTTCCTTAGGAGAATTACCAATTTAGTTTGGCATATAATCTTCTGCATCGTTTAGAAATGTCCTGTATTATTTAAGTTAATTGAACTCTAATATATCATTCATGTCACTTATATCAGTCTAGCCTAAATCCTGGATCGCAGAATCTTCCTAATCTTTAATTATTAAATCTTTCTCCTCGATATAATCCTCAAACAATCTTAGACTGTTTAAAAAGAACAGTAGTCTAGTTTCATTCCTTCTCATCTAATATAGCTCCTCAGGTTTTGGCTTATTTGCGTCTAATTTCCTATTAAGCTCCCGAACTTTCTCTAAATATGACTTCATCTTCTATATTTAGTCCTGCTTTGAGTCAATACTTTATTAAATCATTTTTTTTTCATCATTACTTTGCTACAATTAAATTGATTTCTAATCAACTTAGGTATTAAGATGCCTTCTTTTTGAATTAAATTTTTATCTACATTTTTCAAGATTCAGTCTTGATTATTTCTATAAAAGTTTAGCGATTATGATGCAATATAGAATAAGTACTTACTTGTATTTAGTTGTTCATATACTTAATTCTTTTGCTGTCTACAGAAAGTTTCTCAATTATATTAAGCTCAGGCATAACTTATTTTATTGTCTTTTAATCGAAAATCTTTTGTTCTTTTTACTGATGTAAATAATGTTCTAGTTACTCTTTTGCAAATTCTTAGCGATCGATTTCTTAATTCATTTACTCTAATTCAAACTAAAGTGACAATATCCTATCTTCTAGATCAATATTTTTCTGAAATACATTACTAATCATGTTCTATCCACTGAAGAAACTAGAATTATTGTTGCTATTCTTTATGATTTCAGTCTTGGGATTTATTATACTTAAACTAATCTAATTTCTGCGAGTTTAAGATGTGGTAGATCTAATCTCAGAGTTAAATAGTATATCATTATCATTGATTAGCTAAATAGATTTTTGCTGACTCATCGGTCTAAGATTCAAATCTTCATTTAAAGTCTTCTGAATTCTACTTGTATTCCTCTAGGAGAAGAAACCAGAGCTTTGCAATCCATTATGTTCAATTACATTATATTTGTCTCCTTTTATTTGGCTTAGTTGGGTGTTAAGAAGATTTACTTTCTTTAAGGAGTTCTTTAGTAAGAATGCACTCTTGTCATACTATTATCTTATCTAATGAATATTTGAGAATAAAAAGCTTACTTTTTATGCTTGATAAGCATTAAGACTTTATGAGAAAACAGAGCAGTGTTTTTTATCAGTCTATAGATTTGATACTTTGCTAAAGTCTATTTGTAAGTTTAACTCTTAAGAAATGCTCATTTATTGATGTAACAATAATTTATTTACTTTTATAAATTTTAAATATAATCAACTTAATCCTTATTTCTATTCAAGATTTTAGGGGTTTTGGGGTTTTGGGG